TTTACGGCGTATAAAATCGTTTTTACGGCGTTAAAAGTAGATTTTACGGCGTTAAAAGTATGACGATACATTGGTCCAGATGGCCAGCCATAGTGTAACAGGTAGCTTCGTTAGAAAATGCTTAGTTGGCGGTTTGCGCATGCGCGTAATAAAGAGCACATTCACCATTTTGTATTAAATGAGAGGAATCGCGAGGAAAGAACATGTTTTAAGTACGTGTTATTATAATGCTACGTATTGATTAAAATAATTACCTATTTGCGTCACTGATTGACGCTAACTCAAGCCCTAAACGCCACGTACAAATGTGATTTACCGTCTTTCGTAGCATTTCATTCGATTCCCTGCCTTTCCCCGCATTGATATGACAAAAAGTACTAAATCTAAAAAACGCAGGTTTTACCGTATATGTATACGGTAGTTTTGAAACGTTTATCTGATCTATTAGAGAATAAACCTAGAATATTTAAATGTCCCTCTTTCGGAAAACTCCGTCTCAAGTGTGGAAGGGTAAACTTTGGAAATTGCATAAGATATGCTTACTAAATAGAAAGTTGTGGCATACATGTTTAATATTAATTTTTTCTTGCGCCTCGAATAATTATACCTTGAATGTAATTCTTAAGGTGTTAATACCATGATACTGATACAATTGCTTCCCGGTGAATCACATCGTATTCAACTGGCTATCGCCCCATTGCAATACATGTACTTGTACTAGTCGTTCCATTGTTTTATTCTTCGACGATTTTAAATTGTAATTGAATTTAAACTTCATGTTTAAATATATTGAATTAATTACGTTTCAAAACTTCCATATACAAATACGGTAAAACCTGCGGACAAGGAACGGTGGCCAAAATTGTTTCTTGTCGACAGGTATTTGCCAAAGAGAGGCGATGCTTACAACTGATATTCAAGTTTCTTCCTATTTGCGCCATTTTCGAATTCAACGGACGGCTGATGGATTAATACACTAATTTATGTCAAACTCACTCAAATATGCATGGAGTATTGGCGAGACGGGTAATATTCATATTAAAATGAATTGGTCATGAAATAGTAGTTACACGCGGTCCCAACTTCGACCGTTATTTAGAATTTTTGACCTACCGGATGTTTGAAAATCAAGGATTACGAGTCTCATACAGCACCGTTTTTCTTCAAAATTGTTCCATTCAAAGCATAACAAAAATCCCTTTCTGATGGTACATTATTCTCTTAAACAGAGTCCCTACTTCCAGCGGCATTTTGGTCCCCAGCTGTAAGAAGGCCTTCTAACAGCTGGGAACCAAAACGCTGCTAGAACGAGGGACTCTTTACAATAAAGTAATGCACCGACATAAAGGCAATTTTGTTTTGCTTTTAATGGTATAGGTTTGAAGAAAAACGCAATCCTTGATTTTCAAGCATCTGGTAGGTCGAAAATGCAAATTAAAGGTCGAAGTTAGGACCGCGTGAGTTAAACCACCAGCCGAACACCGAGATATTTTAGTAATGGCCACACTATTTGAAATATAACTGAGAAGTCCATTTGGAAATTGAACGTTTTTATACGATAAACCCCAAATCCAATTCCTCCTAGTAATTAACATAGGCCTATTTTTATTCCATATGTTTTCAAAGGAAAGATAGAAAATGAAAACAATACTTGTAATCGTATTCACTGTTCCACAACTGGATGACTCTAACTGCAGTTAGCTTCATTCAAGATGGTTGCCGAGATTCTTTCGTTTTCGATAAACCTCCGATTTCAGCTAAACTAAGTTGAATCTTGATTCCAAAAGTTTCGCCATGCAAATTAATAAAACTATGATTGTATTCAACCACAAATGAATGCTCTAACACCCATAATATTAGAGAATTTTAAAGAAAACGACTTCACTTAGAATGACTCTAACTGAAGTTGATGATCTACGCCATCATGACGTCATCATCAACTTCAGTTAGAGTCATTCTAAGTGAAGCCGTTTTCTTTAAAATTCTCCAATATCGCGGTTGTTTGAGCATTTATTTGTGGTTATTTACCATCGTAGCTTTATTAATTTGCATGGCGAAACATTTGGAATCCAGATTCAACTTATTTTAGCCGAAATCGGAGGTTTATCGAAAACGAAATGATCTCGGCAACCATCTTGAATGAAGCTAACTGCAGTTAGAGTCATCCAGTTGTGGAACAGTGGTATTGACAGCTGAAATATATAAAAATCGAAATGATAGGAAAAATGTATGGACATGTGTACGGAATGATCACATTCATCTTGTTTTATTTTCCCGAGAATTTTGAACTAGTCTTTTTCTGTGATGATTTGTTAAAATAAAGATTAAAAATTAGATTTTTGAGTTTGATCAATGGTTTATATCAAAAGAATAAAAATATTAATCATAATAAGTGGGTGGGGCAGATGAGTAATGCGCACGCGCAACGAAGCATTTAAAGTGCAGTGTAACACCAAATAATTGCTTCGTTAGGGTTGGATAAAGCCAGTGTGGACACAATTTTTTCGCTAACCTTCGTTACAAAAATGCTTCGTTAGACTCAACCCAGCAGTGTAACAGGTACCACTTTTTATTTGTTTGGATTGGGCCTGACTATGTACTTCAATGGTAAAAACATAATTTCATGATCTCTCAAAAAGTGTTGGTTGAATTTGTCTAAAACTCGATTGGCTTACTATGAGATGACCCTGCTAATGTACATACTCTGACTATTCATCACAATTTTGGTTGTTGAATGAATAAACCAAGGTTTCAAATATTTTTAACAATGCATCAATGGAGATATGGCCCACACATTTTTAAAAAAGTTGAAAAGAAAATTACTCATCATTTACGTCATTGTTTATATTCACTCTACTATACCTAACACCTAGAAATGCATAAGATACTTTGTTTGTCTAATTGTTTTGTTTAGTACATTTTTGAAAGTGCCTTAGTAACATCAAACATTCAACTGATAAACCATTAATAAGGAACAGACAAATAAAAACAAATACATAATCATTACTAATAAGCCAAATGGGTTGCTCATGAACACCAAATGCAAGGTAGGTATAGTAGAGTGATATTACACCGTGCAACACGAACTCAGAGTCATCAGGATTCATAATAGTACCAAAATCCGAGGATGAAATAAAAGTTTACTACTTCTTCATCATAGCAACTACCAATGACAAGTTGGTTCCGTGGTGTAGTGGTTATCACATGTGCTTTACACGCACAGGGTCGCGGGTTCGAACCCCGCCGGAACCTCTTTTTCTCCAAGGTATGTTATTTGTTTTGTTGTTATCAGGAATTATGTGTCATACTCTACCTACTAAAGTCATGTAATTTGATATACTGAAATATTATATTACAATCACGATGCAACCCTAAATGATCGACTTCGGCCAAAAAGTTGAGTGATATTGGTATATTGTAATATCATTCCATTTCCAAAAGTCTGATTTTGCTTCATTATAAAGCTGTGACGTGTGTTGTTTTTGAAATGATCAGTTAATATTCCGTAGTAATGTCAACAAAGCGAGTGCTACGGAATGGTTACCTGTAATACTAGCATAATCATAAATACGTAGCATCTCCTTCAATAAATCCTTACATAAAGCAGTGCCTTTGCCTATCATGTTTGGTGTCACGGTTGGTGTTTGGAGTTTGGCGTCTGTAACAAATGCCATGTTTTCTGTAACAGATGGCAGTTGGTGTTTTCAGCCTTGTTTTAGCCACTGATATGTTTGATATCGTTTAAATTAGACTTTCAACGCCATTCTACCTCTGAGGAAGTTGTACATCTCTTTTTGATTAACCTATACAAGATCCTTTTTAGAAAATTAGTCTGACATTTTTAAAATTTGATGAGGTAAGGTCTCAATCCATTGTTTTCGTAGAGTCAGAGAGCTGTATATTGTTTTATTCGCACGCTCTAAGAAGCGATAACCAAGCAAAAGGTATGTTGATTGTTTGTTCTCACCGTCTTTAATACTGTTAACTAATTGCATTATCAATTGTCTATTTTATAAAACAAAGTAAACATAACCACAGTGAAAACATAAAATGAACGGTGAGACGCAATTTATCCATCTTGATCCATCAAAGTATGACTGAAGGAATACAGTGGTTTGATAGTATGTAATTTATTATATATTGTATACAATAACTCGATTGCGTGCACAAGTGCCCGGCTAGCTCAGTCGGTAGAGCATGGGACTCTTAATCCCAGGGTCGTGGGTTCGAGCCCCACGTTGGGTGAAATTTTTATCTATTATGTAGTATGTCGAGTTATTTTGGAGGAAATAAAGATTAACACAAACAAGCATGTTATCTTAATTTTCACGAACCCATTTTCATGAGCCCTATCACCGTTTATCCGCTCATTAATTTCCGTTCAAGGCAGGTCAGAGTAGTTCCGTGGTGTAGCATTCTGATACTCATAGCATCTTTCTGTTTCACCTTAAACATCAGGGGTGAGAAGAAATGAGATATCATGGTTTATCATGATGGTGGTATAGTGGTTCGAGCCCCATCGGAGCCTCTTTTTATTGCAATCATTGATGGTTCATGGGTGGTTATGACTGTGAACATAAATTATATGGGACCATGGGACCATTTTCTTATCCTAAATCGACTATCTAGCTAGTTACTAGCACATGTGGCATTACAATAGTGTATAGCGATTACCTTTAGAACTGCTTATCCAATTCACCTATATACCTTTCAAGTCTTCATGTTGCATATCTTTTCTTAAAATAGTAGCCTTGCTTCGAGACTGTGGATCCCCCTGCCCCCCCCCCCTTATCTACTTCTTAAACACATTACTGGCTTGCTGAAAAGAAGATAGGGGGCAGGATCTTGAAGCAAGGCTATTAAAAAAAGGCAGTTACTGAACGTATTTGTTAAAGCATCCATGCCTTACCTCCAGTTTTAGTTCGGCCAAATGGTCATTCAAATGAATCTAAGTTTGGAACGTATTTTAAGTTTATACAACATAACATGATTATTTCCAGAATATTACTGTTCTCCCCGTTATTTCGAAGCCTCCTAATATCCTTACGACAATGGATATAACACATGACATCAAACTACGTCTTTTATCCAACATGTATGAACGTTATAGCAAGGACCATCATATCAGGACAATTATGGTAAACATCGAGAGTATTGTGATTGGTGATGGTTTAGACTCAGAGAGCGGAGTGATGAATATATTAGACCAATTGCAAAATGATTCAGCTGTCCAAATTGAGCAACAATTGGGAAGTGCAGTAGAAGAAAGATTCCAAACTCCATGGTTAGTACTGAATCGCTGGCAAAGTTGTAAGGTTTGGAATTGGATAAAGATTGCTTGGCGCTATTTCCTTTGATTTCAAGGACGACAAATGAAAAACGAAAAAATAGAATCTCATCTAGCCTGCACGCATTATATATAGACCTTATACAGGGTGATACACACACTAAATGCCAGACATATCGTGTTGGATAACTTTTTGGTCTGCATTTAATCGGACTTGTTCTTTATCACATTGAAACTAGGCTTCATGGAACAACTCCACAAAAAGTTTCAGATGACTAGCTTGCAGATAAAAAAGTTATGAAACATTATCTAGGTGGTTGGCATTTTCTGTGTCACTCTGTATTCTCCATTCTGTACTTGCAAAATTTATGAAGAGAAATACTAGTATATGTTCTTTTTCTTTTGTTATCCATGTATCGCAATCTTTATACATCTCTGATGTAACGTCAGCGATGAGGATCAAATATCAGTTATTTTACATTTTATTATCCTCATCAAATAGTACAGGTGATGACAGAATTGATCGTGAACTTTGCAATAAGATTACGAAAGTCTCCCATGTGACCGATGTCATTAAGCACATTACTGATGAACTGGCCAACCCGATACATGATGATTGGTTCAACGCAATTATTATCGACATGGGCGAGGAAGTCTCAATAAGTGAATTTGTGGACTCACTAAAAAGTGCACTTGACGGGTTTTCATACCTTGTAAGTATGGAACGTATTACTTGGAACGTCTTGCCTATTTCATAAAAATAGTTTGTCTACAAAACCATAAGACTGTGAACAATAATAGTGTGCTCATTTTCAGAAATGTATGAAAGGCTATGAAGATGCAAAAGACCTGAAACTGCCGCTTGAAATTGTAACACATCAACATAGTAAGTGACTTATTCTGGTAACTTGCCGATAATGAAACCGTTGTCCTTTATTAATCAGACGTGTATTGCCTTTATTTAGTTCGTGTAAGTCAAGGGCCAATTTTAATTATTCGATTTTTAATTCGTAGTGTATAACTAGACTGTTCGCAGGGTGATGCATAGGAATCCATAATCACCTTACAGAGACAAATTCTAAATATCTGTAGAAAATTCTAGAGAGTAACGTCACAAGGCCCAGATATATATATGTATTTTTGCTTCCTCTTTTCATTGCAGAAATTGCTCACTTCGTAGATTGGTTTCTGAAAAGAAATATTGGACTAAATGCAGAACTGGATAGTTTTTACGACAGGTATATCAAAAGTAATCAAGTTGAACGCTTGATCTGATAGGCACATGTGACGTATATATTATCTCCCAATGTATGATTGAGGCTTAATTATTTTTTTCCCAATGTAAGATTTCATTTTTTGTCTAATGCAGACGAATGGAAGAGTCCCTAGATGATAAAAGCGACTGCAAACGGTACTCCAATCGAGAGGTTGATCGCAAACTTCTGGAACAATTGAAGAAAAACAAAGAGAAGTATCTAAATTACTCTGATGACGTTAACATTTCGGATGCTGAAGAAAAACGAACATATTTTGCTTTCTTTGAAGGCGTGACATCTAGTGGTGGTGACCTTGAAATAGTTTTTCCAAGATTAAGAAATGATATCACGGTATGCATGTAGTTTAGATTTAAAGAATTCTTACTCAGTAGAACGGCACAAAAATCGAACAAACATCTACCGAACCTGATGTCGAGTATGCCATAACTATAACAATGGTCATATATACAGGGTGTCAAAAAACAATGGCACCCCCCTCTAAAGCGAAAAGTACTTAATGTTACATGGTGTGCCATATATCATTTTAAAGACAATTTAATTCTGGAGTTACATGAGAAATTTCACAGCTTTATAAATAATTCAACAGATTTACGTACAGCCGATTGTTAGTAGATGGTATGGTCACCACTTGCTGCTCTGCTAGAGGGGAGTGCCGTTGTTTTTTGACACCCTTTATATATTACATAATATAATCGTCATATATTGACATGATGACAGGAGCTGAGGAAAGAATGTCTTAAGATACCAACGTGCATAGCCTTCCTTACAAATGGGACCCTCAAATCAAATGTAAGGACGAAGCACTATTGGAAGAAGGTGGCCGAGTTTGGTAAAGATGAGGGAATGTACATAGCAGGTATATAATATTTAATAGGTAAAAGTATGGGTGCACATAAGGGTTGTAAATGTAAAAGAAATAGAAAGGGAATTCAAAGTTGTGCCTTGTCTACGACTTGACGTACAACCACATGTCCTGTATTATATATTTTAGATATCAATGTTTGTGAGGAATCACGGTACAAGTGCAAAGCTGGAACTACTTGTGTGTATATAAGTAAGTAGAGTCTTCATATCGATCCCCCATTTTCATAATCAAGTTTGAATCATCCATTTAAATATAATTCTATTCTCGACCCTAACGACACAAATGTTTTTACTTTTCTATAAAGAACATATTTTTTAATGATTGAAGGCCCTGGTCAGTTCGGTTGTGACTGTGGGGAAGGATATGAAGAAACGGTGACAAGAACATGTCTTCCTTTGTACAATAACACAGAAATACAACAACAAGTGCACAGACAAAAGATGGCACTGTCTTACAATGGAGTTAATATTGATCCACTAAAAGATGGCGCTGAATTTGTAAAGATTTCTGTAAGTCAAATGTGCAATTGTACTTCATTTCAAATAATCAATTTTGACCATACAAGTAATGTACGTATGTATTTCTACTAAGGTACGGATATAGGTCCATAAAGTCCATATTACACGTTACACATCAAACTTTGTATTGACTTTATCGACACCCTATATATGATTGGTTTTAGCAACAATATCAAGATAAGCAATTGGGAATTTGGGGAAGGAATATATGTACCTTTAATTAAAATTTTTAATATAGACAATGGATTAAACCAGACAAGCAATAAACCCAATTCAAGATATATCATGCATTTAGTATAAATTGCAAATGATGTTTCTCACAGAATGTAATACAAGCTGGAACATCATTCATGTCTGCCTCTCAACACAAAGAGAATACTACAGAACTTAAAGCCATATGTCGTAATACGCCATTATGTATAGGTGCAGTACACAATTTTATTTGCATTTATACCATTTATTCGTATACATTTATAGGGAAATATAGTACTATACTACTAACCAAACATTTCAAAGAGCCTTAGTTAAGCATGTCATGTTGAAGAACCCCTATTCCTACTGTTGAAAATGGATTCTAGCAATACTATCCCACATGAATGTACTTGTTGAGACCGGCGATCAACTTGAGTTCTTCTGAGAAAATGAGGATTTTGTATCAATCCCCGTGGTGACCACATGATGGTGTTTCTCAAAAACCTCAAGTTGTTCGAGTTTCAACAAGGAGATTCGTGTTGGATAGTACTGCTAAAATCCATTTCAATAGTAAAAATGGGGTTCTTAAATAGGACAATGGCCTTGCTTTTTAGAACTTGACTCTAATATGCCAATTAACTTGTACCAGTATCATGCAGTCGGCCTGCTTTCATCCATGTTATTTGTCACCCACAAGGGAGTTGAGAGGGGGTCGGTGCTTATCTTCATTTTATGTATGAGTTTAAGGGTATGGTTGATTTTTTGGGTTTGTAGAACTTCAAAAAATACACGCTATGGTTAAAGCTACAAAGATTTCCAAGCCTGGACAAGAATTTGCCAAAGTCTTATCAGTACAGTTTTATTGGATTTCCTAATAATTGAAACATTTTTTTTTTTTAATGGATTTTTATTTCAGTTCAAGCAGTACATTCAATACATATTTAGGTTTAGTCATTTTACAATAGTGTCGATGGGTGAGAGGGTAACATTGAAACTCTTGGCAAGCATTGCCTAACACAGACGTGTTTCACGTTTCCCTAAAACATTTAGCATTTACAATAGTATGAAAATTATACAACATGGAAAATATGAAGCAGTATAAACTTGTAGTACATGTAATTACAATATATTTTTAATATCCTTCCATTTATCTCCTCTTCCTACTTTTACATCTATTAAATAATATTCTTCTATGTTTCTCTTCAGTCCCAGAAAGGTCGGACGCACCTTTAGACATTTACATAAGTATATATATCTCCTGTATATAGATAAAATTGTATTTATCAATATTGTTTCACTATTTACTGGTCCTAAAGTGATTGTACTTTTGTCACATAAATCAGAAAGCTTTTTAGGAAGCCAGTTTTTAATATCTTGAATTACCATTTCGACAACCTCACACGTTAAAAACAGGTGCACCAGGGTCTCTATGTGTCTACTGCAAAAACAGCATTTATCAGATTCCTTAATACCACACATCTTTAAGTATTTATTTGTCGGTAGAAATCTGTGGATTACTTTATAGTTGAAAGATGCTAATTTAGGTTCATAGTTACTTATTTTATTAATTTTATTAATGTTTTTCCATTCATGGTCTTCAATATCAATATCTAAATCACCGTTCCATTTATACACATAGTTGTCGTTGTAATCAAGGTTTTTAATTAGTTCCCAGTAAATTATTTTACAAATTTTTTTATTTTCCATGAATTTTAACACATGTTTTTTATATTCAGAATAATATTCAGGCGGTTTATTATTTTCAGATATTATTTTTTTCCATTTTTCAGGAATTGTGTTTTTCAGACTTAGAAAATCTAAGAAGTTTATTTTTGTGTTAAAACGGTCCATAAATTCATTTAATCTCAAAATTCTTTTTGATTCGTGATACATGTCTTTTAGAATGATTAAGCCTTCCTGCTTTGTATTTTTTATGATTTTGTTCACATTCTCATTTTTGCTATATCTTAACCATGTGTTGCAGATTATATTTTCAGCATATGATTCTATATTGCATTCAATTTCGGCTTCTTTAATAGCTGTGTATGCGCGAAATATATTGATTATCCCTTTCCAAAAAGTATTTTCAATTTTAGCCTCTAATTTTTGAAGTGATTTTACATCATATGCAAATAGTTCTCTCGCATCTTTTATACCAATTATACCATGCGCTGCAAATTGCCATGTACCATGTCTGGTCAATTTCTGAAGCCAGGTTAATTTCTGAGATTGCTCGAAGGTTTGGGGATCGATCATTCTTAGACCACCATCTTTGTAGTCTTGACATATTTGATGAAAATTCACCTTTGACACATTAGAATTCCACAGGTATGTAGTAAATAAATGTTTTAGTCGTTTATGATATTCAATTGATATTTTTGGCAGAATTTTCATTATATGTACTATTTTTGGCAGAGCAAACGACTTTATTACCGTTATTTTTCCTATCAGGGACAAATTTCTTCTCTTATATCGATTTATCACTACCCTTTGCATTCGTTCGACTTCACTTCTTAAAAGAGAGTTCCGTCTTCACTCTTTCAAACTAAAATAAACCTGTGAACTCACCGCGCCAATCAGTGCTCGTCGGCCAATTTTGACCGACGTTCTGTATATGGTCATTCCCTCTTACGTCATCGTTAAGCCCGGAATTGACCAATGACAATTCACAATTTATTTTGGCGCGTGTTTCTTCAAGCTCACTGATTTGTGAAAGAAAGGTCAGCGCGTAGGTCAGAAGTGATTTATTACCCGAACTGTCAACGGCACCCGTCGTGGGGGCGGGGCTACTAAACTGTAATATGATTTCTACTAGGCAGAGTGTAGTTTAACTAGACTCTGCACGCAGGGTAATTTATCACTGTTTGCATTTCTATAAATTTAGTCTCAAGATTGTCTCGTTCAATATTCTTAAGGTCATTATTAAATTGAATGCCAAGTAATTTAAAGGTGGTTTCCCAATTCAGAGGAATATTTTTCAATAATCTTTCATCCGAATTACATTTGGTTCCTAACCATATTACGGAAGTCTTTTCAACATTAAGCTTTAGACCAGATGCCTCATAAAATAAATTAAAAATTTGCAAGCAGCTTTTCAAAGATTTTTCTGAACCATCGAGAACCACGAAAGTATCATCAGCGTACATACCGACTTTAATATTTTTGTCAAACATTTTCAAACCTTGAATATCTCTGGCGTATTTCAATTTGTTACAGAGTGGTTCTAAAGCAAGAATGAACATGTAGCAAGACAAACTATCTCCCTGACGACATCCACGTTTTATTTTAAAAAATTTTGAAAAGTGTCCGTTATTCACAACTGTGCTTTCCGCTCCGTTATATAGAACCCTGAACCATTTAATAAAACTATCTCCAAAATTGAATTTTTTCAGGCATTTTTCCAGATATTCCCATTCAATACTGTCAAAAGCTTTTTCGAAATCCGCTAACAAAAGTAGGCCAGACATTTTTCTCGTATTAAGATAGTCTATAAGATCATACAGAAGTCTCGTATTTTCAGCCATTTCACGATCCGGAAGAAAAGATTTTTGTTCAATCGAGATTACACTTGGAAGAACCCTTTTCATTCTAGATGCTAGTGCATATGAAAGAAGCTTATAGTCTGCATTAAGAAGTGATATTGGCCTCCAGTTTTTAAAATATTTTCTCATCTTATTAGGCTTAGGTAAGCAAGTTATAACGCCTTGTTTTTTTTTTTTGAAACATGATTACCCGGTAGCTCCACCACACACCATCGAATGCCTAAAATGTTATTTTGTATATATGATATGCGAATATTAAACGTATATTTCAAATTGTTTACACGTATTTTTGAAATATTCAAAATTAGTTGAATGAAATGAAATTTTTGTTTTAGGATTTAACTATTATGGGTTATTGATGAATAAATTTAGACCATTCAACACATGGTTGTTTGGCTATGACGAGGTCCCTGGGCATGACGTTTACGTTCTAGGTAGGTTACCATGGAAACCTGATTATTTTTGCCTTTATTTTGATATTCAATCATTATTTGGATCAGTGTATATTTAGAATTTGAACTTTGCAAGTTGACGGTAAAGCATGCATCACACCCAGCATTATGCCAATTGCAAATATAAGAACAAGAATCAATAATCATGCTAGTAAGACACACTTCCACGGTTTGTTGAGCTCTTATTTTAGGCACTTCAAGATATAGTTATTAGCAGGAGTTACCTAATTACCTCTCCTAGATTTGCCCACGCCCGGTGTAAAAGGGTAGGAGGTCCTATCAAATTATGGTCCTACTTTCCATTGATTTATATGGTGACCTAAATACAACTCTTTCCCTATATCGTATCCACAATCAGGGCCAGTAAGGGCCTTTAAGAAAGGGGACCATAATCCCCAGGGGACCATAATTTCTTTCACACCGGGCCTTTGCTCGGTTGTGTGTTGGTACCCGTTAGTGAAGTGATTGTAACGTTACGTCTTATTTCCAGACCTTAATTATTGTCTCCTCGCAGATAAGATGCCAAACAACAAGATAGTGACTTGTTATAGAATAGGACCAGGAATGTACAACACGTCAAATATTTAACTCGATGTATAATTGTATTTACAAAATCGAAAATAAAGAGAATCTGTTTTATCTATAGAAAGATGTCGCTTTTGCAATATTTTGAAAATGGTATAGTTCTCTTATATGCTACATCCTCGACAGTATAATAGATGTCAGTTTATATAACTAAATTCCAAGCTTCATATTTTCAATCCGATATATCAATTTATTTCAAAGACATTTTATTTCCAAAAATGAGCATGCTAAAATTTCAACGGGTCATTTTGTTTTTAGTTAATTCATTCATGAAAATTTTAATATAATGTGAGCAGCAATACGCCCTACCTAGATGCGTTTTTTCAAGCGACGATAATCTTCTAAATGGACGATTTTTAAAGCCATTAATCCTTATGTCAAATGATTTGATTTTAATTAATTTTTTACAAACTTTTTTAATCACTTTGACAAAGGGTGTAATGTAGTTTAAGGATGTCTTTTCAGTGGGGACCAGAGGCAGGTGGGGGTATTACATTCACTATAAGTGCTTAATTAATTTTCATGATCTTCAAATTGAAATATATCGCTTAATTCTTATGTTAGCTCGTCGTTTTGATTAATGTTAGAACACATGCTTTACCTTGTAGTCTTATACAAACTAGAGCACAAATTTTACTTGTTTTAAATTATTGTAAAACGCTGTAAACCAGCATGGGGTCTTTGAAGCTCACAGTTCATTTTTAAGGATAATTCGTATGTCCAGATGTATTTCTGAACCTAGGGTTAACTTCAAAAACTCCCATTTGTTGGCACCACAAAATTGGGAACATCCCGGCTCAAAATGAAATATGGTTGTCTAAAAAATAATATGCCATTGTGAGTGGATTTTTTGCTTGGTTTACGCTACTGGTGAAACGGATTTTTATAGGCGTTAAAACGTAATTATGCATCTAAAACTCACTCTTCTTTGTAACATAATTGTTTAAAATTGATGAAGTTTCACGGAGATCAATCTAATTAATTTTCAATGGAATCTTAAAGCTCTTAAATAATTACATTATGTTGTTAACCCCCTTGAACCATAAATGTTTTTAAAATCAAAACTCTACTTGAATTTTAAAAATCGTAACAACACGATGTACAATTTATAAAAAACATGAATAAATTAGTAAATAAATAAAAGTCACAAACGTATATTTCTAAATATGTGTATGCAGTCTCGGAAACCCCTGGAATATTGCAGGAAATTGACGTATTCCAAGTATGCCAGCAATAAGTTTCTGCAGACATTACGGTTATTATTTAATTGCCGAAGCGTTGAAAAGGCGGAGTAATCGATGAGGGAGTGAACCGCCCACCGTCTGTTCAGACAGATCTTCCATCAGGCGGATGGATCTTAACTTTTGGAAGACAATTCGTGTAAAAACCATCAACAATGATGCTTCGAGATTTTTACTATTTTTCTATCATCCTAGCGGCAGATATGAAACAAGACATCTGATATTGTAATCATTAGGTTCGGAATATTTTTTTTGCAAACAGGCGACAAAATCATGGGTTTTATTTTCGCCACTGTGTATCAATGGTTTATTGCACGTGTTTTGGTTTGGAGGACGTATGGAGGAGGAAAGGGGTGGTAGGGGGAGGTCAGTGAGACGCCTTATTATATTTAAAAGTGTACTTCAATTTGATGCAATTCCAATAGCTTTCGAATTCGAAAATAAACCATTGTATTGATCCTTTTAAAATGAAACATGCTAAACAAAACAAGAGGTCGAAAAAATGCTAGTGATTCATATAACGAGCATAGCGTCTTCATCAATTCCTCGAGTAATTTATTAACTAATTATTACAAGTTATTATAATCAATTACCAGTACCTTTGATGTATATTGGTTTGGTATTAAGGGAAGTGTTAGTTGCATAATTAATAGTGTGTTTTTAACATCCATAAACAAACTATATCCCTCACTCACTCAGGTTGATTTACTTGTGCCATGTAACGCAGGCTGAGATTTTTAAATGAAAGCGAATGTTCTGTACACTTTACCATTGAAATAAAGCACAACCTGCTTATATTAATAGCTGTAGAATTTCTATTAAGAATTTCTACTACAATACCACAAGTATGGAATCAAAACTTTATTGACTGGATTTGATTAATAAAAAATCATATATTCTATAGCTTTATATTTAAATGAAAGGTATTTAATAAAATAAATAGATAATTTAGCATTGACATGTTTTTGATTCAATATATCGCACGCACATGTCACTTGGCAGTATAAGGAATGAAATTCAAGAAGAAAATTAGCGTCTACATTTTGTATAGTCTTCAGAATAGATTGTTAAACGTTTGCTTCAGACACCTCTTGAAAAGACATACAAGAGCTTTATAAATCATGAAAGCTCATTCTTAGATAGGAATTAAGATAACTTCAACTCTAATTATGAAAAGGCTTTTCATAAATAGGATAGTACTATAAAAACATGCAATATAATTTTGCATATATTTTTGTTGGCAAGCCGTTTCAACATCTCCTGGGGTGTTTTCGAGTGGCCCGGCCGCAATCTGTTGCACTGCGTTTCAGAAACATTGCAACACATTAGCCCATATATCTGACTGTGCCCGCGGTTTCCCCATCAATATAATCCTTGTAATAATACACACATCGATTGATGATTAGATTCTTATTGATACCAAGCCAAGGTTTTGGTAAATTATACACGATCTCTGTATGAACGTTTGCCTTCCAAATCATAATGATAGTGTTTGAAACACGAACATATCTTGAGCATGATATTAACTGTTTAAAAATCAAGAGAGGAGGATCAGACTAACTCGAATGTTTATTTTATATTAAATAGACAATCTAGTTGTCCCCTGGTCATTAAACTAGAAACGCCCACCATACTTTCACAAGAACACGTCACACAAGGGGGACTAGCACTTGAACTAATACAGATAACTACCCCGAAGACATCCTAATCTAATCAGACGAAAATACATCCCTTTAAAAGTGTTACATTTTTACTAGTTATATCTCGTGTACATGTACTTGCATTTGAAACGTACTTTTTGGAAAGCTTATGATACAGTATGAAGATACATAAAAACACGCTTTTTATAACATTTACATTTTGCTTATTCGGTTGCTATGGCAAATGGGTGATTTCTAAATTCAGCAAACCTCGATATCTATCAGAGTATAATGCTTTTTAAGAAAATAGGTTCTGTAATTTAGAATACTTAGTACCCTAAATCAGGTCAGAACGTTTTGCTATGTAACGTTTTCGCGTGACATGTGTGGCATTACGATTAGTTTGTGTATTGATTATGAGACATTTCTCAAATGAATGAAATTGAAAACAATTTTAATCTATCAATGCTTCAAAATGTTTTTTGCCTCGTGTTTACTCTGCATACTGCTTATTCATATTGAGTCAGTGAACAACCTCGAATTTGACTTATTTTTGAGCCTTACCTTAAATTTGTTCTTGCAAATATCACTCAAGCTCTCGATGTCCATCATGTAACATTGTTTTGAAAATGCAGTCAAATCGGTAAATCCTTTTGTGTTATAATGCTGTACCAATGTACGGAGTAAATTGCAGTATAGGAAGACATGAAAAAAGTCCTTCTCTGGAGGTTTTTACATACTGAAACTCAACCGGTTAAAAATGTAGATTGGAATTTTTATATTCAATACTTTAGTACAATAAGCCACTACGATATAAAGAATGATGCTTCTTGTAAATAATTATATTACATAAACAGTGGATCATATGCAATAGGATGTCGTCCAGTTGAGATTGCATCTGTATTCCGCGCCTGTGTTGTATTTTAAGAAATGTAAGAGAGAAGAAACTGGACTCTGCTTGTGTATTAGAGCTGCTTGTCTCTTTCTACGATCTTTCAGTTAAACTCGCGATTATTTGGTAGTCTAGCTACAAGCCGTAGCCCTTGTTACCCCCCCCCCACCCTAGGGCGTGTAATCAAGTAGTGAGAGGGGGTCATTGGGGCTTGTAGCTAAACTACTATAGTAACTTGGAAGCAGCTGTAAATCAATGAACACAGTACAAGAGTCTGAAGTAATGATGATAAGTTTGTGTATGTGTAATTAGTCTAAAATCGTTACTTATCACTATTCCCCCAGAGGGAAGTGCGAGTGGGAGTGTCCAGTGTATGAGATACAGTCTCATGCTATCAAATGCTTGTTATAATTCCCTAGAAATATGTCTAATTAACCAAAATAAGCCATATGAGATCTAGTTTCGCCTACAATGGAAGCTGGGGTAACAAATTCAGCTACAGATCTACATCCCAAATGTTCACACACACATATCTTCTTGAACATGAAATGAATTGTGTCATTTTTTTGGGATTATCTCGTTGACCTCTTGAATATATTTGGCATTCATGTAACTTTAACTTCAACTTGATTTCAAAGAATTATAACAAGGGTATAGTACACCATTGCCTCGAATTCAAAGAATTATAACAAGCGTATAGTACACCATTGCCTCGAATTCAAAGAATTATAACAAGGGTATAGTACACCATTGCCTCGAATTCGAATATTGTGTGTATTATACCAAGCTTTGATATTTTGCATTAATGGTGTCCCACAAGGTTTAGTATTAAACCGGATGCTATTTAAATCATGATGCAGATTTATTCAAAAGAAAATTTCTTCCGATATTCCAGCAGAAAAGGTATACGAGTATATTTCACTGATTCATTTTTAAACTAAGTAAAAATTATTTTCACTTCATAGTGATTTAGATGATTATATAGTTTGATATAATTAAATGGTTTATACAGGTAAAATAATACAATTAAGAGTTTAATAAACTAGTTAAACAGTCATAGCCAAATGTCTGGTTGATTTAAAATGATTATGGGGTCTGCAGTTTGGATAAATTCATTGCATTGTATAAAAAAAGTTTTCAAAAACAGTTGTATTTGTGAAATGTGGCATTCATAAGCCTATTTTGAACAATCAATTTATCATTGGCAGTATGAATACTTTATGTATATATATTTACTAAAATACCAGGTATATAGTTGATTTTTGAGATTGTCTCTTCGTCCGCTTAATCATGTAATTGATTGGAAAAGACAGGATTATCATCCAACCGATTAGCTTTCATTTGCATCCCTGGTTTGTTGTAATCTTACTTAATCCTTTGTGTTAACTCCATTCCGAACATTTATATCCATCAACTTGTAAAATATAATTATTCATGGTTCGTGAATGTCTGAATTATTTTAGTGAATGTAATAAAGCTTTGGTTAATATCACATTTCAAGATTTCAAACGGTATGTTAATCACTTTGAAAAATTCTACAACAATTTGAGTTGATTGATTGTCACTTTCTAATTTTACCAGTCAAATATTGAAATTACTTGACAGTGCTTTATAACCCAGTTATTGAAGTATGCATGGAAATGTACCCTTAAACTAAATTTGTTCTCAAAGAAAATATATCACTCATGACTGCATAGTGACTTTGAGAAGTGTCTCCCAAAAATGCAAATGCGTTTGGAATATCTTTATCCAATTTGGATTATAGCCATTTGAACTTTTGTGCATTCTAATCCGTACATTTTAATTGGAATTTCGTGAATTATGAACTGCTCTGGGAATATATACTGTTGAACCATTGCTTTAAGTGTTTTTATTTAATGAATGACTTGTTGGTCTGCTGTGTTGTTTGTTTATCTATAAATCTAACATCAATCATCTTTAAAGCCATCATGTCAATCATTCTGACAGCTTTTTAGATTTGACCCTTTCAGAACTGATTTGAGAGTATCCACCACATTTAAGTATTTTGATGAGATGTCCATATATTCACCAACTGATGTACCATATTGCATTCGCTCTCTAATGCCATTATCATATCATGCATGCAGCGTTTTGTCCAGTTCCCGAAATTGCCCATAATTATACTGTGCACCATTACACCGGGTTTCCTGGTTTAATTTAATTAATATGTCTATTTTCAACATATGTCCCGTTAGGTTATTGAGAAAGAAATACAAGATATTCAAATGAAGATGGTCTGAATGGGACTCGAGATGCGTTATGATTCAGTCGTTGTTATGTGTTGGTTAACGGGGAGAGCAAGTTCCTGCACCCTCCGGCCAGGTTTTACATATAATAATTTAAGCAGAAAATTATCGTCGATTCGAAATCAAGGTGAAAAGGTTGTCTTTATTAGGAACTAATCATCGGTAATTGGTACTATGACATCGGGACTCTCGCCCAACGCTCAGATTGCATGCTTTGATGTGTATACAGCTTTTCTGCCCTCTAGAATAATAACCGTATTAATATCTATTAAAATATTATCTGAATAAAATAAATGGCATCTCTAAGGAGATGTATGAAGTTCTCTAGTTCACCTCCATATCAATTATTGTAATTTACACACATTACTGCTCCGATAATTGTCTTATTATCCTTCTATATCGGAAACAACATAATTCTATCAAAATGTTTATTGTATAAACGAGGGGATGTATAAAAGAAAAAAATCAATCGAGAGATGGCATAACAAAAGGAAGAATCAATTTGACGAAACGGAAATGTTTCTATCTAACGTCTGTCATGTCTTATTAGAAAACCTCAAATTTGTTTTTTTCTCGTTATCTCATTTCGTTGCTGTTCTTTCACGAGACATAGCATCCTCTCTTTTGCGTTCGATGACGTCCAAGTCTCTCCATATACCGCTTAATTACTTGAAATTGGTTTGAAATTACAGGGTAGATACAGCTTCAATCACATCCGTTACTCAAAGAATACAAGAGTAAAATAAATAAATTAAGTAGTTTCGTTTCATATTTCAAATCAATGTTTCGTTTACACAATTGTTTTTTATGTGTCAGTTCATGAAATTAATATTATATTTTGGGCATATTGGACATGAAAGGTTAACATGTGATTGTGATGATCACCCCATGTGTGGTGAGAATATTAAGTTAACACTTCGGTTAACATTTACCTTGCTTATTAGCCATTGTCCTGGTGAGCTAATCATTGTAGAACCTCCCTAATATTTTTACCGAATTAACTGAACGGTACTTAACCCTGATCACGCTTCATATTAAGCCCCGATGTATGAATCCTTCTATTATCGTCCAAATACCACCAATTATCGCCCGGGGAAACTTTTGCATGATCTGCTTCTGCTGTAATAGACCGTCGGACATCGTCTGGGAAATTCAATGAAAAAGTTGGTCATGGTGAAAAACAAACATAACTGAGATTTTAGGCGAAGTTACGATTTGTATTGAAGTGCTTATTAGTCGTATGTTTAAAAGCAATGTGAAAGGTGACGATGTGCGTCTTAAAAAACCGGCAACAATTTTTCTTTAAAAATGGCGATATAATTATTTAGTAGCTATAGCTGGTAATTAAAGTGATTTATTTTCAATTCATTGGTTTTTGATGAAGTCGTATATGCAAATTGATCAAGTTTATTTGCGATTTAACACTTTAGAGGAGAAATGTAGTAACTCTTAATTATCCGGACATCCGCAGACTCGTGTCGTACCCCATCATTTTTTGTTCCTTACCAACGTTAGTGACCTTTAATAATCGGGAGCATCCTGAAAATAGAGTGGTATAAACAAAGATAATGTGGTATAATTGGAGCTAATTAAATCAATTATACCTGACTAGAAGTGTTATTTTAGCGCATAAATAGTAATGGAAGCGTGAGGGAAGTCCGACGATTTGCAAATTGCAATCAACTGATCAAGAACAAAATTTCCCAGTGAAATTAGTGGATATCAAGATCTCTAATTATTTCATATGTCTAACTTAGTGGACAAGCAATGACATGTAATTATAGAGATTATGGCATAGAATCCACCTGAGCACATTGTCTTACTATTGTCTATATTCTAATTTACTCATTTATTCATTGCATATTTTACCTGTTTAACTTTGAGACAATGGTTGAGATATTTTCCCGAGCACCTGTGCATTTTGTTCTTACTGATTTAATGATTGACTCTAACAAAAAGATGTGTTCATTAGACAGGCTTAGCATGAAGACATTATTAGATTATGAAATCACGATGACTTGATAGAGATGCACTTGGTGGAAATCTCAGATCTCTAGCTACACAGTCACTCCATCTTCGATCTTCCCAATTAATAATATCTTGGGACATTTGCAAACTCAAAGATGTAAACTTTTCTATATTTCGAAACATTAAATTTAGACGTGGGTTTATCATGTTTATATAGACTTATATTTAGTATTTGATATAATCCAATGTCATACAGCACAGCACAGCATAGTACATCACATCACAGCAAAGCCAGTACATCACAGCAAAGTACAGTACAGTTAGTACAGTACAGTATAGTACAGCATAGTAAAGTACAGTCCACACATACATGGATGACTTGCATCTGGTAACTGTAAGCCACCGTACACTAAATGGAAATGCAGCGCTAGAACAATGGTGATTGCATAGGGGACATATGTGCCGTCTAACTGACATAATGTTTCGTAATCCTATTAAAGATTACGACTTGCCTTCAAATGATGTACGGAGACGTGAGAGCGTATATTTATCGTGTATGTGCCCGGAATCCATACTCGGGCATTTCACATTGCCCTCTCGGGGTCTATCTCAGATGATCAAAAAAGATTTGCTGATTTTAAATGAAATGACTAACATATTTGGTCAAAAACGTTACTCTTGCAGTTACTTCCATGACTACACAATAGTCTATAATTATAAATCAAGGATTACTGCTAGTTTAAAGTGTAGACAAGTCTAATGGACGACTGTGCAGATATCACTGGGGCATCTCGGTACGTCTAAAAATTGCAAACTTGAATGGGGTGGGAACCGAAATGATAACGATTAAACAAAACAATTGTTTAGCTATATAGTTTCTCACTAATTATATGTACGGTATTTTCTTTTTCCAAAGGTTTAAAAAACGTTTTGTACAAGTTCCTGTTATATTCTATCGCAGGAAACTCTGAGGTGATCATGTTGCATATGATTACAGTTTTGACACGTTTTTGCACGATGACAGATTTTAAATTACGCCTGACATTTTGAGAGTGCAATCCATCCCCAGTGTACAATTTTGACGCTTCGTGCAAATAGTTTTAATTTTACAATTTCTCTCATTATCAAGCACATGTCTCTCTTTGCAAATCCATTCAATTCCTATCAAAAACTCGACGGGGTAAATTGGCCCATGGGAAGATAATTTGATTCAAATTCTCATTCTGAAGATAGTAATGTATGAATATGTTTGATTCTAAGCCCTACTGCATTCGGAAGCACGCAGCAGGTTGGTCTGGTGCACCAGAATCCTACCCTAAAGATGCAACAAAAATGAATCCCCGCGGATCGCCGATAATGGGTTGGTTTTACGATGTAACCTCTTTACCAAATCGTATTGTAGCAAGTAGCATGTTTCCATAGCTATCCTATAGAACATATTTCCAGTATATGTCAAGTGCGGGATTCCATGCGGGGATAAATGCACTCCGGCAATTTCCAGTCTTGATCCATTTGTGTTCGTCGACAAAAGACACTGGGAAAAGGCGTGAAAATGCAAACGAACACATTAGATACATATTCTAGTGGGAAACTTGTGGTTTTTAAGAGCAATATGAGATTCTAGAGTCCATGGAGGATTACGATGATGAATTTATTTTTAGGTCTATTTACTCTATTATCATTTTCAATGTATTAAAATTCTTATATTCTGTTTCTTCAAAATGTATGAAGTTTTAGTCTCACAAATCAACTACGCCAAGTCAGTAGTCAGAATTTGTGAAATAGCTATCCAAAATGGTATTTTCAATGCGGAGCTGAATAATTCTTCCAGGTAGACAATTGTGTTTAATTTCAATTAATTCTCATCATCTCTGTATGTTTTTACAATGATTTGTGTATAGCTATTTTAGATGTTTGGTGAACTGTGTGTTACCCCACGCAAAGCTACGGTCATGTAAACAATCATAAAAACAAACCAAAATATATGATTACATTATTTTATTTTCAAAACATGATAACTTAGTTGTACAGAAAGTAGAGACACTATGTCATCGTAGTCAGATAACGACATCTGTAGGTGAGCACGGAGAGAACGTGTTCCCTGCTAAATCTAGCTCACACCCCGACCGAACATGCAGTGGTAGACGTAACTATCCGTTAATAAATTATGTTCTTTACGATTATTTTACAAAACCTTTTGCTCATACATGAACATAGATATACAAACAAAAATATAAATCAGTCAAACAATAACACGCAAGCATTTTGCGTGAAAAATACTCAAAACTTCAATTTGTGCAAATAAATATTTTGGGACTATTTATAAGAAACTTGAAACATGTTTGTTTGTATTTAGCTAACTATCAACCAATATTTAATGAAAAAAAAAACTTAATATTGTGTTTAAATAGCCATAGATGGGCGAATAAGTGACAATTAATATGTCAAATAACAGTCTTCATATCTGTCTACAAACATAACTTATGAAACATGTTATTCCCGCAGAAAAGCATTCTCATAAGCTAAAATGCAGTAAACCCTCTCACTTTGAACACTTCTCTAAAATGAATGTACATTTTATGAACAAAAAAACGCAAGGACCAATTAAAGTTTGATACATGTTATGTTATCCGTTATTGAGTGGCGAACATTTTTGTAAACAAATATTCTGAAATACAGAAAATAAACCTGAACACAACGTTCTTGAATTATATTGTTTTTAAATAATCGACATTAGTAAAAAAGAGACTGCAGGTTAACAATAATATATGCAAATACAAAAATAACAGCACCAATATTATTTACAAATCTTACAAAAGTTACAATATTTACAAAGTTGGCAAAATACAAAACAGATTGAGAGAGACTTCACTGAGTATATAATTACATGTACAATATTTAAGAATACTGATAATATATTTTGATATCTGATGTGCAAACGTTGGGACTTTATATGAGACAATATATTGGGGATACCATATCGTAAATTTCGATTTAAAGATAACAGCTGCCCATTATGACGAAATACTGAACTGACAGTTATTAACGTTTTGAAATTATGCTCTTGTCGTAATAAATGAGGGGTGCCATGTATAAACTATGGTTTGTGGTTTCTGTGTCTCTGAATGACGTCACTTGTTTATTTTACTTGTGGGTTATGTTGGTTCTGATTGTCCGCTTTTAGATGAGACAAGGGTGTCGTTGGTGAAGCAATGTCTTGATTGACACTATTGATACTATTATTGTTACTATTTTCAGAGTCACTTTCCTTACCCTCTTTTTGGTCGCTGTGTGTTTTCACGTGCTTGGCGAGGTGGTCGCTACGCATGAAGCGTTTGTTACAAACGGGACAAGCGAAACGCTTCTCACCCGTATGAGTCCGTAAGTGACGTTGCAGTTCATCCGAGCGAGTAAATCGTTTTCCGCAGAACAACCAATTACATACAAACGGTCTTTCACCGGTATGCCAACGCAGATGAGCTTTTAGATGTGACGATTTGTTGTAAACCTTCCCACACCCTGGTATGTGGCAACTGTGAACGTTGCGTTTACGTAAATGAGCACCAGCAGGCCCTAGTCGGTCTGCTTCCACACAGTTCGGGCAGTCACATGTCGCCCGTCCCGTGTAGCGTCGTGAGGATCGGGGGCTTGGTAAACCAGGGAGGCCTCCCCGGGGTAAGAATGGCGAAGTGACGGAGCCAGCACCAAGTGGGTCGTTTTGAGTTGGCAATATAGATTTATAAGTGTCCTGTAGCAGTTGCCCACCTGCCGAAGATATTGAGAATGGGCTAGGATTTGAGCTAAGGGCATGGCCCAAAGGGTGCCCCAAAGAGTCCGTGCTTGGGTAGTTAGATGAGATCTGAGGGTGGAGACCATTTGCAGCCGCCGCCGAGTTTTGAACCTCTGAGAGCCAGTTATTTGGCGCTGCGTGAATGTCCCACCAAGTTGACGGTGTATTTACGCTAACTTCTGGCTTAATACTGGGTGGATGTGATCCAGTGGCCGAAGCGTATGGCCAGGATTCAAATGGATTAGTCCCTGGTACTCTGGAATAGACGCTAGAGTACGCCGGATTACTGATTCCAGGTTCACCATGAACTTTCTGTAATAGTGACTGACTTGTCTCCACTTGACCTGTGCTCGATGTGGATGGATAGAAAATGTCCGAACCGTAAGAACTTGCGCACGATGACGTCACTGCTGTTGTGCGGGGATAAGTCATAGATCCTGTCGTAAAATTCATATTTGCGTTTAACGTCGGTACCCGTTGTGACGCTAACGTCAGTCCTGGCGCTGGCGGAGATGGATCAGGCTTCTTCCACGGATGGAATCCTTTCCCGACCGTTGCATCAGCCAGTGGTGGCGGGCTCTTGTTCGTTATCTTACTGCACTGTGCCGCTAGCATAGCGAGAGGAGTGCCGCCAAAATGTGGGTGCTCCTGGAAAATACAAATAAATCCTTGATTAGTCGTTTTCAGTATGTATGCATTCCCATACAGGTACAGAACTATTTTTTACAATTATATCATTATTTAATATTTAAACCGTCAATGTCTGAGGAAGTGCTTCAGGAGGAGCCATCTGTTCGCTGTTATAGTGTGAAGTCAATGGCTGTTGGAGGAATGATACAACCAACAGACAACACTGCAACAGGCCTCCAAGCACTGAAGATAACAGGGTGAGAGCTACACACGTTGTCCCATCATTCAACAGTTATTATAATCACCCGTTTGATAATACATCAGCCACCGGCATTGCAGAATCTTCAAGAGAAACCCTCCTAAACTTACATTGCGGTTCTTTTTATGTTTAATACTTTTGCCCAAAGAGAGAAAACTCAAATTATATAAAAAGTGACTTTTAGCTGCCGAAGTGGAATGATGCATTTAAGATAAGAAAGATTTTTTATTTCAAATTATAGGTTTGTGGAATAGGTCGCTCGTGTACCATCTTCCCGTGTTGCTTCAAAGGATCTCTATTTTAAAATTTAAGTAAGAACTTCTGTGTTGGGCAGATGTCCACCTCTTACCAAGCGTAGTACTTTTAATGAAATTCAAAATAAACTCCGCACCGCTTTACAAAAGTCCAAGAACACCAATATACATTCGTTTTGAAATTAAGAGATAATCCAAAAATAACAAAGAGTTTCCTATAAAGGATCCGTTCCCGTTTCATGTGGTAAGAACGTCGCATGATCAAGTAAGAATAAGAGTAGAAATATCACCGGTATGAAAAAATCATTAGCATGGAAACAAGCTTTGATTGACAACTCCCCTCCCTTCCCGACCCTTATGGCTTTGATGGTAAGCGCACCTTCACGGAGTTATTGATGATACCTGTGAGCTACTTCCTATTTATGAAATCATCATCACTCATACATACCACTAATCAATAGCTAAAGCTCAATCAGATCCGCAACCTATCATAATTTTACGTCCGGCGCAATAATCTCAATTCAGGGGGTAAATAGGCGGATTGTGGCGACGTCCAATACCGCCATATCGATTTATCTGAGACTCGACTTCTCCACCCTTCAACGCCCATTTGTATGCGATATGTTCGGCTTTATAGCTTTCAGTCCAACCCAATACTTAACCGTCATCTATCATGTATTTAATTTCTCTCTTATGACACATTTGACCAATGATGACTTATTTTCTTGTTACTATTAATAGGAAAGCGACCACAATTTTTATAGCATAACCAGATAACAAAACCTAATTGATTTAAACTTGTATAGAACATTGAAAAATACATTATCTTCTTAATTTTAGGTTGACCAAACATCAATATTACAAATTCATAAGTACCGAATGACCATCGAAACTAGAACAAATTTAGTAAAATAAATTGATACTTTTCATATTTAATTGAACTAAATTATTTCAGTATGGATGGATACGAAAATGTATATAATTTCATTGTATTGTTTGTTGCAGTAAATTTAATGATGGTTTCTCTTTTTCGAACTTCGAGTTCAGCTCACATGCTATCCCTTTACAAGGTAATATAAATAAATGAAATAGCTGTCTACCTTTAAGTATGTTTTTAAAAGAAATTGATGCTAGCTCGACTCTTGTCTTAAACATCATAATAAAAATGGAGGCGTAATTGGGCGGAAAGTCAAAAGCGTTTGAAGTTGCATTTTATGAAAGACAAATTGAAAAAAGGAGAGTTAGTTAGGGGTACGGTATATTTTATCACTGATCGTCTGACTGGTGAAGATTTCGGCATATAATACATGGCTGGTACGAGTTAACTCCACTGTCCCTATGATTAATTGATTGTAATGTATTACAACCAATTATTCACTTAAACGGCACTTTTTATGTTACATTGATATTTTTTGATTTATAGTGATGTTTTTTTCTTGTCTTACGTTTCCGAGGGAATCCGAACCTTAAAGTATAGGCACTTGGTGAAAGGTGATCTCCACTTCTGTTTAAAGAAGTAATTAAAAACTATTATATTTTTTAAACTAGTGATTATTTCCATGTTTTTTAAACTGTTATAAATTCCTCCAAACATCAAAGCATAGCATTTGACTACTCTTAGACAGAGAGTGCAGAAAATGGAATATATAGCCTTTTTAAACGCACGACCAGATGGTCTCTAATGAAAGTACCGTTAACAGTTTATCGGTCAGGTAAGGTGTAGACATACTATAATATAAGGGCTGAAATAGCCAGCACGTGGACCCCGGCATTACTCAAATAATCAACAATACCTCTTTAATTTTCTCAGAGATGATCTGTTTAACGGAGGTTGACATCACGCCTAAGTTAAAAGATCATTGTTAAGATGATTGAAATATCGCTCTTTTGACACCAACTTACTCCGTTGTGTTACTACTAGAACAGTCCCATTAGATTTAAACCGTTGTCAGTCAATAGTACGACTTGTTAAAAATCAACAAGCGAAATTACAAAGTCAAGAAAATGAATTCTGACACCAGCGTTTTCTACAGAAGCTTTCTAACTTGATATGTCATCAAATAAGCCGCCGGTTTGTGAACATTGGGGATTATGGATGCTGATTGAACGTTTATTAAACGTCCCCGCAACGATGCTGATGTACGAGATACCAGCGGATTGACTGATAACTATTCAGTGAGCGTTTTGAAGATATTTATGAATGGAGTCAAAGGCTTCTTTGAAATCATCGAATGTAAGACCACATCTGAGATCATATATATAAGGTGTATAATTCAAATATTGTATTTTTCATTTTGGAAATAAAATATTTGTATTATTGAATGTTCAAATATTGCCAATGTTGAACTTCCATCATCTTAATTTCAAGTTTATCACATCTGATATCACATAATGCAGATGTGTTTTTTCAATCATTACCAGGGAAATCAACGTGTTCATATAATGATTATTCAAATCTTTTTCATCTTAGATTTTTCTTTTCTCAATCTCATAGAAATCGCATAATGCAGATGTTGTCTTTTTAATTTCCACTTTGGAAATTAGAAATTAAATATTCATATATATGATTGTTCAAATATTGTCCTTGTTAAATTTGCATTAACTAATCATAGTGTCAAAATGGCTTCCATCAACTCATCCAGGCATAAGGCCTAGTTAAGCTTTTAATCCATGGTCATTAAATTAAATGCAAAATTTATTCACTCTTATCTGTTGATTAACAACTTATTCCCCTCAGAGCCTTTATTGGATTAATTGACTCTGATTGGGTAATAAAAAAGATCATCAACTTAGCATAAAATACACATCCAAGTTCTTTGAAAGCCGAGAGCTCGAGAACTTTTTGCATGTTAGCTAGACAAATAGATTCAAAATGAAATTTTAATAAAGATAATAAACATAAATGCATAATTATTTATTAATAATTGAAGTACCTGGCTAGACCTTTTTATTTTTCAATCAGAGCATTGTCGAGATATTGCTATACATTTTGGATAATAGAGTAAAAGGTGTGAATAAATTTAAAAGTAAATGGGGGCACACTTTATTCATTATATTATCGCCCAGTTTATGTCTTTGAGAATACGATCTGGAGCGTGCCCCTCTGCTGAAAGCAGCTCATAGACAGCCAGTCCAATCTCTTGACTTTTAATTCCAAATATCTTGTTATAGCTTGAGAGACAGACAGCAGCATTGTTAGTTTAGTTTGATCTTTTAGCGGCTGCTACTTCTTAATTTGATTGAATTATTAAACATTGAAATTTGTCTAGGAAATTTTTAACAAGCGATTAGGTTTTAATGCATTCAAGAAGGTATCAGATGCAGAGATTTTGTCAATGCTGGTTGACTTTTCACCAGCAACTTTTGATGTGCCGTCAATGAAACTGACAACAAATGTTAGTTCTACAAGTCCTTTCAGTGCCAACGTAAACATCATGGTCCGTCATAGACAGGCGGGGAATCTGACAAGGAGCACTGATTAGCCCCTGACATATGTAGAATCAAGCAAGATGAATCAGTTGGCTTCAAATGAACTAAATGGTAATGAAAGGTCAATTTGAAATTACCCGAAATACTCAAATTTGTTTGTAAATTGCCAAGACACACAACTCCAAACAATAGTCATTGAATTACTAGCACTGAACAGCCAGCAGACGTCGAATTTGTCAGGTTACCCTTCTTTTTCTAATTGATGGATGTATGGAACTATAGGCATGCCCCCAGACTGGGACTCTAACTTCTGCAAGGCCCGAAGACGTGAATCTGTAGACTAAAAGAGACTTTTAACAACATCAAATAAAAGCTATTCGTGGAGGTTTTGATGCTCTTTACATTTATTGAATTTGTAGAACTTTGTTTCTATCAGCCAAGAAAATGGCATACAATGCAACTCTTGTAAGAGCGCTATGTCGTAGAAAGGCCTGGCATGACACAGGTATATAATGCGTGTAATTACCTGTAATCATGGTACATACTCCCTATAATTTGCAGACTTAATGATCATTATTGTCCGATAAATTTTGATATTGTTTTACACTTTCATTGATTTACAATTTCCAGCACGGAATCAGAGTGAATTATCCCGAAAATCGATCAATTAAGAAAGAACTTGAAAATAGCAAATGTGAAGTAGAAATTATCCCTTCATCTATTCAACATGCAAAATATTTCATCTCGAGATTTTTCTATTAATAATGTTTTTCTCGATTAATTATTTATATCCAAGATTAATGTGTTATTCTAATAACTAGTTATTCATATAATGTTATTATCTACTTCTAATAAGCTCAATTATTGTAAAATATCTAAATAAAATAATTATTTTATTAACTCAGTTGTGCAACATGTTTCCGTGCTTTCACACGAGTGTCATATTTTAGGTTAGGCCTAGGGGGGAATGTTCATGATCAATTTTGTAATAAATATGAAGTATTTTGTCACAATAATACATAACTTGCATTATAGTATTTGTCTGATTGAAATTTAAACTCCAATTTGAAAAACGCATTTAGTTCTTTTGTTCAGAATCAAAGGTACGAAACTATCTAGCGGTCGCGGTGTCGCATACATGTTACATTATGTAAGATTGATGCGTTTCAAAAGAAACAAATTAAAACAGATGCCTGCGGCCAGGTGGACATGAAAGAAATAGTGTCACAAAACGCTATCCTTCGAGGTACAGACCAAAAACAACATATATCGAATTGGAGTTGCGCAACTTGATAACGATTTCGTTAATAAGATACTTTCATCTTTTGTTCGGTTGGACATTGCTGCCCTTAAGCCAAGGACCTTGAACATGAACAAATAACATGTTGGCCTATTTGTTATTTTGAACTTCCATCCGCACACTGGTTCAAGCCTTGTGAAGTTAATGTTTCTTAGCTTAGCTTCACAACAAAACTGATATTTTATGAAAAATTGTAGCCTTTTAACATCCCAGTAGTTTAGGTGTCCCATGGATTAAAAATTACTTTTAAAACTGTTTGCACCAGAAAAGTTGACCTGGAAACACCAGGAGTTATGTTTATTAGCAAACCAATATGACTGTACGATTATTGCAGCAGACGACAAAACCCGATTCGAAACCACGAAACTAATTAAAATACGTTAAACAATGGCTTCTTTGCAAACAATTTGAATGAAACTACGACGATTTTTGACAGGTTATTTGACAATATTAGAAAATGATTGTGAGATGGTCTCAGTCAGAGGATATAGATGGTTAGATGATTGGGAATCAGTTGTCAAATTTGATTGATGTACAGGCTGATGTAGATGCTGGGTAGATACACGTATATGGAACTAATTACTGATGATATTAACACCACTAGTGGACGTCAAAGAATTGCTTGTTACACAACAAACCCAACCTTCATTAAAAACTTCAAAGAAATCATTAACAGATAGCACAAAAAATCTAAAAGATAATCACGATGAACTAAAGACGCTGTGAAACAATCTCTTCGGAGATAATCCGGTCTCAAATAGGATAAGGTTCAATCAGCGTTAATGAACGCTAAAAGATAAACATCATTTTGAAATGTATACTGGAAGAATGTTACTTCGGAAGAGCAATTAATGACACGAGCTGTCTTTGGTGTAAATTAAGCATGTAGATTCCTTGTATTAAATGTCCATTTGATACTTCGGCACAAGCCACATTTCTCTGCTTTATCCATCAAGCAAATAATTGTCTGACAATTAAAAATTCCAATTTTGAAATCCAAAATTTAGAGTTGAAATTTTTAACTTCATTTCATCACTTCAATTCAGTAAAAATATTCTTTTTTTTGAATAAATACAATTTTTTTAGCTTCATATAATTTTTTTTAGTAAGAATATTCTTATCACTAATACCAGTAGTGAAATTATAATCTGAATAAATGTGAAATAATAAAATCATTATTATACCTTCTATTTATGATGCTATTGGGGCTAAACCATCAGGAAACAAAGGGAACGACATAGATCTCAATACGAAGATCATTATTCAATGATAGTCGCGTATGACGGATTTTGTGCACTGTTTCTTTGGAATTAATATAACCAAAAACTGTTTAAGAAATAATTTGACACCCTTGGTATTAATTCTAGATATTTTCTCATCCATAAGTGATGTATTTACGTGTTGATTTAAGCCCTCCATTTAACCATAAACCAAATGCAGGAACACATCATCACTGCTGTTAATTTATAGTGTTTTCACTGATCATATTTGTCAAATATAATCTGTAAATAAATCCATTCTGTCTAAGCTAAGAAACTCAATAACCAGAAGTCGTTCGGGTAATAGAATTAAGTAGAGTTCTTTGTATATTGAGGGTTAATACAAATACACTCACGTCAAAGTATTTAATGTAGTATTTAGGTTATTCTATTTTGCAAATATATTGATATCAAGATATTTGACAGGCCTCAGGGAGATATGTCGAAAATATTACAGAAGACAGAAATTCACATGAGATATTTGTTGGTGGGAAAATATCAAAAGATAAAGCTCGTTTGTTTTACTAGTGTTTTATCTTTAAAAGACGTGTCAGATATGACTATCTGATAGAAAGACAATCTTTCAGCACTTATTTTTGTTCCAGGGGCAACGTATCATCAATTAACTCAACGTAATTAAAACGGTGTAATTAGGGTAATTAAAAAACAAGTTAACCTCTCAAAGAATTTTGTTTTTACAGCGTTTTTCGACAGGCAGCGTTTTATAAAAATCGTGAGAAGTGGATTTTTTCTTTATTTTGGAAATATGTATTAACATTGGTTAGAAAGTGAAGTATTGGCGTGCAAAATAGTAAGGATACCTTCTGAGGTTTGACAGCTAGCTTTTGAGTGATCAAAGACGTCTCTCCGTAGGATCCAGATTCTTAGACATATCATGGGGCTTTAAGTGCGAAAATAATATTCCAAACTGACACTCAACCCCGATATGAATTCATAAACTATCATTTAATATTATTCTCTAATATGAGTCGCATATAATCAGGCTTGTGTTGAACTTAACATAGGGAGTGCTGGCAAAGGTTTGTGGACAATTTGGTTTGTAACTGTGGTCATAAATCGGATTATATTTCGCAAATCATGATTTTATTAAATGCATAATTCATGGGTAAATACAAATATCATCATTATTAATTTATTACTTTTGTATTATTTACATTTCAATGATACCATGGCATTAAAACGACTAATATCTTAATATCAAAACATCATAACAAAGTAAAATTAAACCATTGACTATAAAAAAAAATTATAAACATACGAAAGTACCCGTTTTTGTACAGTGATGATGAACTACAACTTAACATTGAATATTTACTAAAGACCTAGTAATAAAACTGCAGTTTATAGACAGTTCTAAAGATGAGTTTTCGCTGTACCATCCCCTAATCATTACTGAACATATAAAACATCCTACCCGTGGTTTATGGATACTAAATTGTCAATCCTACAGTAAATAAACAAGAAAGTTTATACAGAGGATACGAATTGCGCAAATTAAAAGACCTGTAATTTTGTAAGTTTTCACTGGATGTTTAGTATTGTTTACATAATATAGTAATGAGCTAAATTTGAAAAAATCAAGATCGAATAAATTTTATTATATTTGCTTATATATTTTCTATTATTATAATGTTACAAACTTGCAATTCAATATGATTTGATACATTTACGGTGCATTTGTTTGTAAGACCACGATAATATGATTGCATTAGCTCTAATGCAATTATCCCATGGCTATCTATGTTTTAAAACAAAGCACATCACGCAATCGCTGAGATAATCTCGATGTACATGCTACGACGCTGTTTGAGAATTGTTATCATGATTGCAGAAAAACATACGTAATGAATATATCCCTAATATTGAATGTATACAATGGAATTGGTGTACAGTTGCAATTTTTGGCTTATATAACGATCTACATGTATATATGATTTTGCATTTTTGTCCTGTTGTGCATTGGTAAATTACCAAAAATATAACGATAACGGGGATCTTTAAAAATTATTTATATCATATACTTTTGTATGTGTTAAACAGCAGCCGAGAACTGGCAATAATGTGGTCAAATTATGCACCGCCAAAATGTCCAAAATGAGTAATGTAACCACTTGCCTATCCCCTGGGCCTTGGTACAAGATAAAGGTTCATGTAATACATGTTCGACATCTGTCCCTGTCCACAAATATTTATACAGCAGACACATATTTCATAAAATATATGAAAAGTGAAATTTACACATTGTAAACAAAATTGGTGTACTCGTTTGAAAAGACCTGCAGAATCAGGGTTAGAATCACACCGATGTGATTTTCTTTATAAATTACAGTTATAATCAAGCTAAGTTATTATGATTTGTTAGTAAAATTTGATCATAACTCTAATTGTAATACCACATTCTGTCAAAACGATGCAATAAATAATTTGCTGATAACCAAGTAGATCACCGCATGGTTTGTTAAATATTATTTTTTATGATTTACTTACAATTTTGACTGCTTCGATGGTATTAATCTTCCCTCGCCCGATCTTTACAATTTCCAAGCGTCAAGTGTTAATGAATCCAAGCGACGAGTATAAGCCTCCACGTTTTAAAATTAATTAAAAGAGTCGGAGAAGCCGGTGTATTAAGGCAACTTCGTCTAGTTTGGTTTGATGGCGAGTACGCATAAGAATATATACGCAATAATTATGTGTTGAAGGTACAATTAAAGATGGCTTCTCTCAACGAGACCGCCCCTATACTTACCCCAAGCATAGATGTTGCCATGGCTTTTTTCAATGATAGCAAGATCCCGTAGTGTCAACGATGTACAAGTACTCCTAAGGTGAGAGGATCCAATGGCAAGTCCGCCCATACTTTCTCTAATTGTAGCCCTAAAGCCCTTTGATGTTCCGCCATACTTGCGCATCAGCCAATCAAAACTCGGCATTCCGTTTTGAGTGATAGCTGCATTGACCCTTGTAACCTCGTTACTACACAGGCTAAATAGAGAAGAAACGTCAAGGGAGCTCGCCTTCGGAATACAATAACTTATATCCGCACTACTACCGTACGACATGCTAAATTCTTGACAGCCTCACAATAAAGAACACTGACAAATATTGTCACATGCCAAAAACATTTCTTCCAAATATTGCAGAACTAAAAATTCTTTTATATTGGTTTTGTGGCTTTTTGATTTCATATTAGAAAGTTGATCATTCATGCGACCCTGAATCAGAGATACGTCTAATTGTTGGATTTAGACATTTAATCGGACTTCAAATAACCAGAGATACTATCAAATATAAAAAATTCTCATGAGACTTTGCTTGAACTTTAAAAGTGATTTGACTTTTACAAAGATATCATTCAAAAATTTATTAACCTAACTGTCAAAACAGACGAAGATAGTAGATCCATCCCGCTGTTAGCGCGATAATAGCGTTCCTTTAGCTTGAAGGGGTAATTAAAACACACATTTAGCCAGTGATCGAAAACCACCGGTGGGTGACGTTGTAGTAAAATTGACCAATATAACTAGACGGTTGGCTCAAGGGAATAGTCGTATGAGTGACAACTAGTGCCCCGGGACAAAGTGATTCACTTGCCTGAGTTTATTACGAACAGCACCGTCGATGACAATGCTCCCAATGAGTGTGGTAATGATAAGGAAACCATTAGGTCAATTATGGCACACAGATTCAATGGCGAATGAACATAGATTCGCTATAAGATATCCCATAGTGATGATTTATCTGGACCTATTGTGAAAAATGTTCGAGATGATGATTACTCATTTATCAGAGAGATGATAGATGGACGATAAATCTCAAATGACAGCAGGAATCACCGAATCTGCCACGTTTATGTGTCAGGCTAAATACCGTTAGTCAATTACTGTTGACTCTCATCAGTTATAATTGTTTCTTTTGGTCTATTACAAGCGATTTATTGAAGTAAACTTACAACAGTATTATTATCTTCTGCGTCTTCATAAATTCTTACCGTTCATTTCTCCAAAGGCTCGCATTTGCTCCAAAGGCGGCCGTAGCTTCACAAAATCGATACAGAAAATCTACATCGCATTGCTTATCTGTTGAGTGTATATGATATGCTGCATATTTCTCTCAATTTTGGCCTGGGATTTTGGGAAGCTACGGTCGCCGTCACTGAGTACGGTTGCCGTACATCAAATATGACTGAGGCTTAAGATACCAGGTGAATAACACGAGTATTCCAGGGAACCTTTAAAACTCACGGTCGGGTTCACCCCATGCCAGCGAGGCTATTCGTACCTGGGTCATTTTACACTCACTTTTTGGAGAATGATTCAATTATTGCACAATATTGAAATATTCTTTGGTAGGTCATTCAATGGGATGTTCTTTGATAGGTCATTGGATATTCACCCATTGATCTGATTCCATCATTGCAATGGGATATGAGATGTCTGATTCAAGCATTACATCAATTGGTGAATATTGAATGACCCATCAAAGAATATCCCATTACATTGTATCGTCTGATTCAATAATTACAATGGGATATTCAATGGTGGACCACTTAACACTCTGATTCCATCATTGCGATGCGATGTTCTTAGCTTGGTCATTTAATATTTACCCATTGTTTTTTAGAATACATCATTGTAATGTGATAATGTTTGGTGGGTCATTTAATATTCATTCATTGATTTCTGATTCTTTTATTGTAATGTTAGATATTCACTCATTGCTGGTGGGTCACCATAGCTCACTACATTGATCAGAGGCTATCTCTAACTCTATATTCCATGCAGCAACAAAATTATTAAACAATACAAGAAACATCTAAACATTTCTACATCTAATCTATTATGATAATATCGACCCATACGCACAAGTCAATGTTTTCTGGAAAACATGCTTCTCGGTTGACTAAATTACACACTTCATGAAAAATAAGTGGAAAATATTGATTGCAGACTGAATATGAGCAACACATGAGACTATAAATACAGGTTAAATAACACGTATACCAAGTGTAATTTAAATATTCGTAAATATATGTATTATTGGTAATGACAATAATTTATGAAGTACAACGCGTGATAATATAGTGGCTAGAAAATGATTGGGTTCGAGGCTATATAATTTGGGCGGGAAAATCACAGTGTCAAATTGGGTAGCCATTAGTGATCAATATTGCTTATTAAAACTTGGTGATCCCATCATTATCGAGATAATAGGTTTATTATCATCAGGTACTTGCATTACTTAATATCATGCTTAATGAAAAGACTTATGCAATAAGGTGTGTTATGGTAAATTATGCAATAGAATTTCTTATTCATTAGTTCTCATACTCATCTTGGGCAAGGTATTTATGTGACAGTATTAGCGTTGTCAAAGCCAAGAAAAAAACGTGTGCCGCGTGGTTTGGTGAAATTCAAGTTAATTAGTTAAAAGAAGATCAGGTGAAGAAAAAGAAAACTCCGTGAGGTAGGGAGGTTACTGCTAGCAAGGTCAATGTGTTCTCAAAAGTTGCGCTATGATATGAGCATCTAGAATATGAAAAGCAAAAATATATATGACAGCCATGAGATTCAAATACTCGTGATCTAGACCCTATACAAGAGTATTTGGCGATATGTGTGTTTTAAAAATCACTCTTAATTAATTACATCCACTAGAAACACAACAAAACATTGCAGGCGTTTTGTCAATAAAATTGAAATATCGAACAGGAAGTTGATTGTATGTCTCACTGTTAGTGGTGTGTCGGGGCGGTTAGGGGGCGTGATACATCGGCCTTTGGGAGGCATAGGGTGGGTAAAGGCGTTTATCTTCTAACTGCCATCAGACCTTATACATGTCATCTAAGTACTCAACACTATTATTATCGATATGTTGACGAATGGTCGGATATATTCGCGACTTATTCGCATTTTTCACCTGCTTTTAATCTGACAATACAATTGAACGACAATCACCACCTTTCAAAATAATGTATCACTTTGGCCTGTTTATCTCTGCATCGCATATTGAGAGACTACAAGAAACTTTAGTGAAAAATAACATTTTTCATCCAAGGTGCATATTAAATAGATCTAAGGTCCCAAACGACTTAATAGCGAACATTTACTGAAGATTTTTCCAAATGAAGACCATTTTGCCATGTAATTTGAGGGAATTTGCGCCAATTGAAAGAAGCCTAATTGATGTCATTAGAGTCAACTATCTCCGCAAGAAAAGCACCGCTGATAAATCAGGAAGATGTATAATTGATCAATTTCTAATTCTGTGAATCCTTTAGAAATAGAGTGCATTGTATGCAAATAACAGTTTAGAGTTTTTATGCTCAGATTTGTCTTTGATTTCATGGAAATGAATGTTGAAATTTTCGTTTGACTTTATTCAGATTCATCGTTATTATTTCATTATGAAACAACAAGATGAAAGCTGGTCGCCGCTGCTTTTTGTTTTTTATCACTTAGTGCCTAACTAGGCTCTTTTGGCACATTCTCATCCAGTATTTTCACGCCAATTTAGTCAGATAACAATAGTTTGACAAACCAGTTTTCCTCGTGTGGAGGCTTCTCAATGAGGGGCGTTCTGATTCCAAACCCTATATCCCCACCCTCATTCAACCAAATAACCTTTATTTTACTAGTTGAAATTATAATTTACCTTACCCGGCAGCTAACTCCTTTGTTCTCGCCCGAATTTTGAAATCTGTTAATAATTCTCAGCTTTTATTTCAAGCATTCTTTAAAAGGCAGTTAATTTGAATTAGCCATATTTTCTGCATTTTATACTTGATTAGAAATTAATGTTTGTATCAAAAGTATGGAAACTCCCTCTCTTTGCATGCAATAGAAAACCATTTATAACTTTCAAATTAAACTGGTACTCTGGCCGATTTTTGTTGAATTCACAACCTGTTCTATTTACACGAGATGCTCTTTTCAAATCGTATAGAACTATTTACAATTCATAATTTCTTACATATATTTGTTTAAGTTTTCACATATGGATTGAAGTCGTGAGTAGTGAGCATGCTGCAGCGTTATTAAGCTTTGCAGCAATCAAATCAAAATTTTAAAAAATAATGTTACATTGACGTTTCGCATAAAATATTTGATTATCTCGTCAGTATGTACTTCGAATTCATTCCGAATATGAGCTCTTCAATGACGACTACTATTAATCTAGAGTGTACGAGTCTCCGTTCGGTCTTTGTCACTACTGAGTATTTGAATCGCAATTTTGATTTGAATATTTTAATCACTATTTTTATCACAATTTGCTTATAGGCATGTATAGTCGAGCACGGATCTCTGTGCGCGAGTGGAGAAATATGTTCGGGAGCAAGGAAATGGTGGTGCGCGACTAAGGATTTCACGTTCGCGATGTGAGAATCGTGGTTCGAGTGCAAGGAACTTGATTCGCGAGGTCAGAAGTGATGTTCGCGTTGGTGAAAGTCTCGGAGGCCTGGAGTCTGTTCTGGATGTGTCGCTATTTTAATCACAATTTGCATATAGGCATGAATGTGATCTGACGTCTGAGCGATGTATTACGAGCAGCCCGGATAGCTCAGTCGGTAGAGCATCAGACTTTTAATCTGAGGGTCCAGGGTTCGAGTCCCTGTGCGGGCTTTGTCACTATTTTAATCATATTTTGCATACAGGCATGAATCCAATATGACGTCTGACGATTGTATAACGAGCAGCCCGGATAGCTCAGTCGGTAGAGTATCAGACTTTCAATCTGAGGGTCCAGGGTTCCAGTCCCCGTTCGGGCTTTGTCACTATTTAAATCACATTTTGCATATAGGCATGAATGAGCATCAGATTTTTAATCTGAGGGT